CCTACAAGAAGAACCGTGCGACCCAGCGATAGAGTAGCGATTCCGTATGTTTGACTGCGATACCCAAAACGAGACACGACCGGACAGTAACGAGAGGAGCGACCCATAGACCAATATGATACCCGGAACCCGACCAGGAAGAGGCAGGAGGGCAGACCTTCAGGCGAGTTTGTATATTTGGCTGGAACAAAAAGGCGGAGCAAACGGGCAGCTCATCCGTTTATGTACAATTTGGGGACCGGCCATCAATGGCCTTGGAAGTTAGCTTGAAAGTGGTGAGTCACAGGAAAATGGACCAATGAAGGTCGAGAATGGCCGGTGGTGCGGAATGATTCTTTTCTGTGGCAAAAATCCGGGAATTTAATTTTTATAAAAATAATTAGAAAAATAGGAAAAATAGTGGGAAATAGTCACTTTTAGAGTCTACACATCAAGGAAGAATGTCCGATGACTGGCACAAGAATGCGGCATTTAGATCATCAGCGTCCACATCTACTTTCGACCGTACTTTCTTTCTTCCACAGAATTCAGTCAGAGAATAACTAGTTCCATCTATTTACTTCAGCTTTGATGAGCCTGGACAAGTACCTGACAGCTGAAGCATTGTAAGACTTGTAAGCACTTTCCTTTTGTCGTCGCAGCGACTTTAGTGGGGGAGAGTTTATCCTTCCGTTGGGCACATAATGGCTTTGGACAGGACAGAAGTAATTAAAAATGGCATTGATTGTTTGGGTGAATAGGGGAACACATGTGAATAGAGAAGGAGATGATGAAAACCATAAAGAGGCCTGTCTAAGAGATTCATTCAGGAGAGAAACACGTGCAGGTGAGAAGTTACGAAAACGAAATCTGATATGCTCAGATCGGGAGAGAGATTTGTATGCACTGTGTGAATCAACTTTAGGTCGAAGAGTAAACAATTGTTACTAGAGGAAATACGTGCTTTTAGTGCTAAAGAAGAAAAGGTTGGCTGGTTGATGATTTTTCTGTCCAGTATAGAATTACCTCTTGTGGGAGAGTGACAAAGATCTGTCATAGGTAGTGATAAAAGAGGATAAGTA